CGTTTGCTCTAAACAAGCACCGGCTATTTGCGAACATGATTCGATTAACTGAAACATTTATAAATATATTTTAGTGTTATTAATTGTTATTAACACAAACCAGACATTAACACAAGATAATCACCTTCGCAGATACATCTTGCAAATCTTTGATATCTTTCTTTTCTTGCATAGGTGGGCATTTTTGTACATATTCATTCAATATAGCCAGCAAAAGAAATTGGGCAGGTGCTGTTAACGACAAGCCATCCTTTAATAAACTGAGTAATGATGCCCAAGATTCGATAAGAGATTGTGAGGTGTTACTCTGCATATAGACATAAAGTAATTCTAGCACCGAGACTTCCAATGAAAAATCTTGCTTAATCCCATGTATTGGCGGTGGTGTTTTCACTACTTGATGCACAGTGTGTACCAACGTATCAATGGGCATAACGCGAATCGCGCTAACGAGATGAACCATTACTTGTTGGTTAGGACAGGCTTCTGGAAGTATCTGTAACGAAACAAATTATATCTCAAAATTCATTTTTCTCAAAATTGATAACATTATTTCATTAACTCATATTTCATTAATTTTATTTTTATATTAAACGCGTAATATTGATCACCTTCTTTGACGCAGCGGATGATTGGCGCCTTTCGTGCCAGGCAACCGCGACTGCGGCCAAAAAGTTGGCTCCGTGATGGAAAGAGATTGGAGATAAAAGTTCCAACAATTGATATTTGACTATTCTCGGACTACCCACTACACAACTGGCTTGTTCGCTGTATGATATTAAAAGAATATTATATTAACGCAATATAAATTTTAATATATTTGATTGAAAAATGCACATAATAAGACATACTTGTCTTTTGTTGCTAAAACCGTTTGCCATAAGGCAGACAATGACGCTATTATTCTTGGCAAATGACTTAATGCTGTTCTTCTGGCATGTTGTTGCAACTCATTCGCACCAGTTTTATCTTTCGCTGTGGATAAATCCTACGAAAAACGTAAATTTTGCTATCTCGTATCAAATAAATAAAATAAAAAGTATTGATTAATTCTATCACATAATTCAAATTTCTATAAATTTTGTCCAACTAACCGGAGAAAGTGGGCTTGGCATGAAAACATGTATAAGATTATTGAATATCTGTCCGGGATTAGCACCGGGAATTCCCGTTTGTATTGCACTTAATGGCTGATTAAACGAAAAACCAATTTGCTGAGACGTGTCCAATAGACAATAATGCAGCAAATACGTTAAAGCTTCCAAATGTGTCACTGTGTAATCTGCGGGTAAGCAGCATTCCACCGTACTTATATCTTGTAATTTCGATGTTAATGCCGCTTCTTCGTTGATGTAATACGATGCCAAGTGCTCAATATTACTGCATAATTGATGAATAACCGATGTTACAACGGATGTTAAAGATGATCCCATAAATGGCAGGCTGGACGTTACAAGCGTCGTCCAATGTTGGTGAAGATGTCTCATATGATCCTACAAAATATATTCATTAAGTATAAATCGCTTATTTCGGTAACTGATTATTAACCTACAATTAATTAGATCAGTTTGTAATTTATACACAATATATTTATAATTATAATATTTATAATTTAAAAATATTGTATGTAGAATTTAATAAAATATATCTATTGTATTATGCATTGATTTCCTTATTCCAAATTTCTTTAAAAATATATGCATAAATTTTCGAACCAATCTGACAATATATATTACAATAAATTACATACAAGTTGCAGGGCGCTAAGAATACTAGCAAGAAACATTGGTTGCTGTGGTATTGCTGCTCCAGAGATGTATTTCAAACTATTTCCGATTAAATTCGGCAGCGCACGTGTCGGCGAACTTGGTATAGACGACGTCGTCGTATTGATTTCCTCTCCTTTTTGACTACTACACTGATGCTCCAACATAATTAATGCTAATAATAACCTTGAAAAATGGTAAATTAATAGTTACAAAAAATTATACAAGTATAACTGAAACTATTTTCAATGTTAATACGAGTTTCAGATAATTTGAATCAATAAAATAATCCTGCTGAATTTATTACATATTTACCGTAACAATTGTATTTGGAAAGCTTCTGTGTGATCACTTGCTCTATATTTACATTTGTTAACATCATTATCGATAAACGGATCATTAAATAATACAATTTCTTCGGTAAACGTGAAAACATCCTCGTTTTCCTTATGAGCGTTTTTCATACTCATAACACTGGACACGAGACAATGCAGAGCAACTTTTTGTACTTTACATTTAGTCAGCAAATCGACTATATAGCAGCTAAAACCTTTTCCAGAATCGCGGACAATCGGGATTAACTCAGAAAATATTAACGTTAGTAACTCTGCGCTTGCAAGTTGTACCTGTGTGAAAGATATTTTTGTTAATAGAAAGATTAATCTCTGATATACATTAAAGATAAAATTAATTAACTAGACAGTAAGTACAAAAAATATAATTAAGATACTTTTTTTTTAATTAAACACATACCTGACGATTACCCGCGATTTCTTCATACGTAAGCCTCATTTGCCCTAGATTGGGATAATAACTTCTCGCAAAATACAGGCACACACTTATCAACACTTCCAAATACATGCTACTTCTGTAAGCCGCTATGAATTCCGTGTTAGCTATATCACCATGAAAGTTCCTGCCGAAAACACTTTTTCTATGTCTCGCCAATAAGTTTAACAACACTGTGTTCTTCGTCGCGTTTGCTACACCAGTCGTTGCCGCACAGCAAAGGAACATTCGCGTGTTCGTCAAGAGTTCGTTCCTGAGAGTACGCAGAGCATAAAGAGTCCTGGCCGAATCATACACTCCGCAGTAGAGCAACATGTGAGAATGAAGATTGTGAACACCCAAACCGACATTTCGATTGGTTTTCGCATTGTGCTGCTGAATTTCTTCCTACATGATAAAAAAAGATGTTAAGCATATTTTGCAACTATGCCAAATATAATAAGCTAAATAATGAGATACTTACGCTTTTAGGTGGTTCAGCGACGTCGCACAATTGCATCGCGCGATCGAGCACTTCGTTCAAAATCTCTTCGACTATACTGGCACTGCTGGAATTATTGAAGTACTCCTCTGCGGTTGTACTGATATCCAAATCGCCATCGTCATCGTCCATCGTCCAACTAGGCACTTCTGCGCTCGCTTCGAAACTACCAATGTCATGATCGTAATTCGCACTGAACTCGTTCGTGCTGTAATATCTGCCTTTTATAATGGTGCCTGCCACTTCTCTGGAACTGCCCGGCATTATGATTGTTTCCTTCTTTTGTTTGGATTGTTTATTAGTTACTTCGGGACTGCTTGAATCCAAGCTATTCGTTATAGAGTCTAACGATGAATCGACATCATCGTTCAGCTTCTTAAAGCTATTTTTGTCCTTTACTTTTAGACTGCTAGAGTTCACCGATTCGAAAAGACTCTCATCTAAACTGGCAGTAGAACCTTTGTCGAAATCGATCTTCTTGAAACGGGTAGCATTTTTCAACAACTCTGTCGTTAAGTTCGTCTTGCGCATGCTGGGCAGCGAGTCATCTTCCGTCAAAGAATCATTTGAATTTTCATTACAGTTGATTGAAAGGGGGTTCACAAACACCGAAATCTTTCTATTGCCGGATATACTAGGAGGTACTTCGAGTTCCTTCATAAATTGATTTCTCTCTGTGACGTAGTGATTGCAATTGTCACCAGTCGCCAGCGTTGTTACCGCAAAGATCCGTTTTATTTTTACAGGATTTATCGCCTGCTTTTTCTTCTTACCCTTTTTCCATTTTTTATCCTCGTCCACGTTATCGCTCACATGATATATAACATTACCATCGACCGAGCTAATCGCGTAAATTTTCGCGGCACCTTCCGTGTCATCCTGAACTTCCGATTTCTCTTCCACAGGATCGTTCTTCGTTAGGACGGTATTACTGTGTTGTATACTCACGTGAAGGACGCTCATACGACATGTGGATGGATCCAATAATATTGTCAACAGAGGATCTATCACGCGCGATATATCGCCACGCATCAAGGAATGTAACAGCCATGATTGGGCCTGTAATTTTAACGGCGAATTGTCCACAAGCTGAAGATTGTCCAATATTTTCAATAAAGATCTAAAAAGTAACATGTGAAAGAAGTGATCAAGCTACTAATTGAAGAGACATTAAAAGTTCTTTACTTACTGGTCGAAAGTTCTGAGACAGCCACGCAACCTCGGGTTTGTTTCGATTTCTCGTCCCAAGTGCCAGAGAGTAGCGAATCTACCAAATGCCTCGATCCTTTTTTCGGGATTCTCGGAGGTGAGTGCCGATCCTATCAGATCCTCGACCGCATCGCAGGAATCATACAAAGCATGGTGTAATTCATGTAATAGTTCTACGCAACGAATCCTAAATTTATGTGCGGGAAGCTCGCCCAGATGATGCCACAACGAATGTGCCAGTACCTTTATTTTTAAAATAATTCTATTTAATGTATTATTTTTCATTAGAACTTAGCGCACAAATACTATGAGGACATACCTGAAACACATTAGTATACTGCATCAAATAAGTTACGTGCCACTGTTTCAATAGAGGCACAATAATAACAGTCGTTACACCCTCTCCACTTTTCGGATGTGTCTCAACGTCATTATGCGCCTTTAACAATGCTACCAGATCCAGTAACGTGGCGATACTTGTTAGTTGTAACGCGGGCTGCTTCTGCAACCAGCAGGAACAGACTATCAAAACTTTCAACCAATCCGGAAGAACGTGTTCGAACTTTGGTTCCTCTTCCACGAGTACGTCGTCGCCAGGCAGAAAGTATTTCGGAAATGTGGACAGCTCAACAAACAAGCTGGACGCTATTTTCATGGCTTCAGTCCATTCCGAGTGCGTGGCAATGTCGAGGAATAAATGAAAAATATCCAGGCACTTGGTATCCTCAGTTACGGATGCGTCTTGACTAAAGAATCCAGAATCGTCTATGTTTAATCTGGAATTCAATAGGAATTCCAAATAACGCATTCTCTCATCGAAACTCTTTCTCGGGCAGGACACCACTAGGTGATCGAACATATCTTGCACTGTTCTTTCCCTGCTAAGTATTCGGTTGCTAATTAATTTAACATAAAATATCTCGTATTGTCGGAGGCACTTTTCCAGCATGGAATGCTGTGCCTGAAACGCCGGAGATGGTCCCCTACACAAGGATCCCGTCGATCCCATTGGACTGACATTCTTCAAGTGCTTTAATGTGGATAGACGGCTGTCCGAGGACTGATTCTTTGACGAACAGTTTATTCCATCGACATCGATGCAACTCGCCTTAATGTCATCCATGCTTTTATTCCTAGGTAAAGATTTCTTGTCTTCGCTTACTACAACGGAAATGCCACTGCCATCGGCCTGTATAGTGTATGAGTCGCTTAACTTCGAAGTGCTTTTGCTACTCTTCTTTTTCGACTTTTTCTCATTCCTTTTAGCGGCACCGCCGGAATTGGCTCTTCTTCTCGTACTTGGGCTTTTTTCTGTGAAGGAAATATTAGATGTATCGGGTTTATTCAATTTACTATCTGATTGACTCTTTTCTAGAGGAATCGCCGTCAGGGAATTATCGCTGGGAACTGTAATGTTATTCAAAGACGTGTCTAACTTGGCATCTACTTCACATTTATCCGCATGAGCCGTTATCATTGTCGGTTGCACTTTCGACAAAATTTTGGCGCACAATTTTAGACTTTTCGAAATCTCCATTGGGGACAAGATACTACTGTGATATAAAAGCTTGCTGATTATTTCGTAAAATAAACCAGGAAGATGTTCAGATGGTGTGTCTATAAACGCATCCAATGACACGGTCTCGAGTAAGAATTCCGTTAGCATGCACACTTCCACGAGATTCGGCATTCCACTACCGATCGGTCTTACAGTAACGTCTTCGATCGCGACTTGCGTCTTTGCTCTCATGTTACAGGCTTTTTCAAAGAGATGCCCGCAGTGTATCCAAATATACGACGGTTCCAAAGTCGAGAATAACAGATTCGCCGACTTCACCACTTCGTTTGCTTTCGGTACATGATTCGACGCAGATTGTTTGCAGGCATTATAAAATGTCCTGGAATATTACGGTTATTATAAAACGATTATTATATTAAAAAATGTTATGGTTACGGTTATTATATTAAAAAATAATTTCAGTATATTTATTTTATATAACATAATAAAAACAATCTTACCTAAACACTTCAAACAGAATGTCATCCAAAATTATTGGTCCAATATCCACCTTATCAAGTAATGAAACAAGTATCCTATATGGTTTCAGATCTTGCGAATTTTCTTCACATACTTCTTTAAGTAAGTATTTTATCGCTTCGACTAACATTTCTTTCGAATACATATCAAAGTATGTTACTTCCTCTTTAATATCTGCAGTTGCATGGCTCTTCTTCTTTAAAATCGATGTGCTTACTTCGGTGCCCAACAGCCAAGCAAACAAACGTCTATAATCGTATGATAAAAAAATAAGTAAGTATAAAATGGAAATTTAAAAAGAAGTGTTGTATCTTGCATCTTTTTTTACCTGTTTAAGCTCATGTCTCTTCGTAATATAGTAACTAGAGCAGCTCTTATTAACAATATCATATCTTGATGTGTCAATTGACTGTTATGTATAGGAAAACCGATTAACAGAAAATCAAGTGCACTTCTCTGCACTAATACTGAAGTGTCTTGTACTCCAGCGCATAAGGCTGAAATCTTCAATAAATCAGGATATTAGATAATGAAGTGTCAAAAATAAATCTAACAATCAAACACAAATTCCTTTTTTTTCTTACCATAATTTTAGTATTAGTACCCATAATATATTTTTGCTCTTCCATGGATAGTTTTTTGTTAAAGTGTGCTAGCACAAATGATATCGCAGGCAATCGAATACCAGAATTTGAAGCTAAGCAGTCCCAGAGACATGCATAAAAATGTTCCGCACCAACACCCTCACATACTTTTTCGAGTAACGAGTTGGTTCTGTGAAATAACATTTCTTATTTATTATTGACAAATCTATACATTATTTAAATAGAAGGAACGTTATAAATAATGCAGTGCATACCTGTCAAAATGATCGGATCCATCTTCTAGGCCCAAAAGAACACCGCTTAAAAACCCACTCAATCCTGGTCTCAATCTTTCGCCAAGTGGTACAAAGTGTGTCTCATATACCGTTAACAAGGACGGTCTGACATTCATAGCAGCGTGACCCAGTAATGGGAAGAGTCCTGATTAAGAATACACAGATGTACAAAATCTTTGCGTATAATTATTTCTTTTACTCGTTGCGTATACCCACCTGCGCTATAAATAAAAAGCTCATGGCTGAGTCTATTAGTGCCCATACACTTAAATATAATGTCATATGTTTCTAAAGCTTTCAAGTGAACACCAGAAGGTAATGCCGGATGCATACATTGAGCTAATCTCTTCGATATCTTAATTCTTCTTGGAATAACAGGGAATTTCATATGACTCAATAATACCTTGTTGAGTTTCCCCAATGCAGAGATTAAATCTGCCCATTCGCTCGTGTATTCAAAACTCTTCAGGGCTTTGTCGACTGCAGATACATAGCTGTGCAAATGAATAGAGCGATATTGTAATGTATTTTTCAAGGATAGTTATGTACAAACATTGAGTGACGAAATGTAAATTATTACATATGTTTACCGAGTCTCACTTGCCGTAGTCTTAAGTGTGCTAATCTATTCACTATACACCTACTACTTACACTCGATATTTCGAGTCTTTCATCAACTCGTACTCTTCCAGAGCGATGGAGCCCATTGCTGCGTTTTTTTTTCGCACTTCGTGACTAAAGCAAACTACGCTGACGACGATGCTTCCTCGTGTCACCTTACATGATTCTGGGCTTACCTCGCGAAAATGACAAAATCCACTTATGCTGCGAGCCCTTATCGCATGCGGCGCATCGTACTCAGATAAGACGAGCACTTCGGTACCTGGAAATCAAGCCTTCGCGTTACTACAGACGATCCCAATATCCAGAAGTAGCGCAGCGCATTTTGCGTATGCGGAGTCCGAATCGTTCCGATATTTCTTTCCGCCGTTTCGGGAAACAGAAATATTACCCTCTCGCGCGCTCTCTCACCGGCTGAGCGACCGTTCGCGGAACCCAACTGGGAAGCCACGGTTCATTGTTCACATCTATGCGGCTATGTTTACACGAGCCTATCAGCTTGGTTATCTCGCTTTCGCGGTTGATCTCCCCCCGCCAGAATTCAGCGGCGCTCCACCATCGACATATCGCCGGACATATACCGGACGAGAGCCTCAGGACTTCCCCACGTCAATCTTGGACACGTAGCGATCGACTGACAAGTACCCCAGCTGTCCTCCAGCTGTCTCCAGGCGAGACCGTGTGACGCGACACGCGACGCGACGCGCGCTTTCGATCGGAAATTCCGATTCCCCCCCCCTCGAGATCGTGATTGACGACTCACTCTTGTCGCCAAGACGCCACTGAAGCTCGGTTCACCTCACAATGTTGTCGTCGTTGACGTCGCGCGTGGTCAGGTGTCAGATGATCGACGCGTGACCGTGAATTAAAAGCGGAAGCATACAGATTTACACGCTGGTCACATTTACACATTCGCTTACGAGAGATTGATCTTTCAATGAGTGCAATCAACTGGAAACTGCAGCGATTAAGCTTTGATTGACTTTAATTACTGATATTAAATGAGAAAAGGATTAAGACTAGTTAAGTTATTAAAATAATATATTACTTAATACATTAATTATTGATTAAGCTAATGGGAGTCATATTCTTTGACATGTTAATTATCGATTAAATTAATGGGAATCACTTAAAAATTTTTTTCTTTGATTGCTCTTCCTCAGTTGCTCAATGATCCGATTTCTTCCATGGTGACATAATAGATCTCATCTGCCAACAAATTGCATTGTGCAATTGCGTTATGCAACAGTTACTTGATTGAAACATCCTTCAAACTCAATACATAAGATATACATAGAACATTTTAAGTGTCGGGTATTGTCAAATTCAAATGTAAATATATTTTTTTTTATTATGAAATACTTTGAAATCCATTCTTGCCATTTTCTCGGCAATTGTGCATGAATAACAAAAACATGAAAAGAATTTAACAATTCGAAGCATTGCGCTAACATCTGTCTCATTTTCCAGTATTTGAGTTTTGAGCTTCTAAGATTCATACGAAGATTACGAGCTTGTAAAAACAATAAAAATATTGATAAAGAGACAGGTACCATCTGACTAATATATATACTTATTATAAACTTACAAAATGGATGTTTTGCTTATATAAGAGCTCAGACACATCACACTCGAAATTCATATGGAATGTTTATAAATATTTTTAGAAGGAACGATTGCATCGACACTGCTTAACACACACATTATTCTCTCTCGTTTACATTTACCAAATTAAGAGAAATCGACATGTGAATATTTCAATACTGAAATGTCCACTATTTTGCACGCTCCGATAAAAAACATGGTATAACAAAACAAATCAATCTTTTAAGATAATAGTAAGATAATGTCTCAACGTAATACATTAATGCAGCTTTGTTACTTTAAAATAAATGTATTGCGTTTTTTTTTCACAATTAACTCTCTAATGCTTTCTTTTGGAAAACTAAATAGGTTAGTATATAAAAGTTAATAAACTCTGAACTTTTCGAAAGTATAAGATTTAGAGAACAAGTTTTTTATAAGTTTGAAAAAATTCATATTTGATAAACATAAAAACAAAGTGGAAAAAATAGTAAAAGTGATACGTGCACGAACTTCAAAAGTTACATCAAGGGATAGAGAGTTAATATGAATGTATTAATTTCTATATTAAAAATATCCAGTATGTATCCCATTAAAAGTTGTACATTATTGTATTTTGATATTAATCCCCACATATTTGTGATCTTGCATCAGGAACATAGTTTTGCACCCAAGGGTTGCGGTTTTGTGGTACGTTCTAGCCTTTTTTGTTGTTGTTCTATCAACCGCTGTTCTCGCTCTCTTCTTCTTTGTTCCCGCAGCACTTTGGTAGCATCATTCAAATCTTCCATAGCATCCATTTCCCAACTGGCAGCATTTTCCTCCCATTCTTCCAATTCATTCTGGATATGTGATAAGAATACAAGTCTCTGATGTGTTAAAAACTTTTTACATTTTGAATGTAAACTTACAGTCGGAACAGGATCCATGGCCGAGAATTTCGCAGTGCTGTGAGACGAGCCATCTGCATGCTTATCTTTTATTAAAATCTTTGTCTGCCTAGTAATTTTGGGAGTCATGTCCTATATAAGATTCAAAGAAAAAAACTATAAGTTATTGAGATGATTGCTTCAGAATTAATTTTAGAAATACCTCGAAAAAATTAAGTTGTTCCTCAGTAGGTGTTTCAGGAGACTTAATCACTTGTTGGCGGTACTGTTCTATTTTCGCTTGCACCGTATTAACTGGTTTGTCTGGTATAACTACAACTGGATTTTCTTCCCATTTATCCCATTGCTCTAATTCCTAAATAATATATTAGGTCAGTATTATTATAAAATTCAGACAGATAAATTATATATCCTCATCTTTAATATAATTAATATAAACTTAGACATTTAGTCATTATAATAAAATCAAAAATATTACATTTTTCTGTTTACTTCGACATCCCAAGACATTATACAAACATTTTTATATGCAATACCAACAAAAACATATTGACATAACTGCGTAAAAATTCTTGTAACATCATCGTTTTCATATCATGTTTTATCTATAGATTCTGGCATACGATTACAAAATTCTAGTATAATCGGTACAAAATCGACAAGTACCGTCGAGCTAGTCAGGGCGTTTGGCACCACGCCAACTGTGGACAGCGGCACGGAGTCGCAGGACGATCGTCTTCGACGTCGCAGACAGCACATCGCGCGCTTAAATATCCCGAAAAGCAGCACGAACAAGGCCTTGAGCCGATTCATCAGAAACTCCACAGCCATTTTCGATTTTGGGCGGCTCGGACGGAGGAGTTAACCTCTACCGCGAAGCCGGAAGACGGACGTTCGCGCGGTTACCGGATACGAATGCAGGATCGGCGATCCATCTTAGGGCGAGTGGAGAAGACGCCGAGAAGGATTCGCCCTCACATCATCCCTCTTTCCTTTTGCACGTGATATAATTTTTCGGTAAACCGGGAGGCGACCTTCAAATCCTAGCCTAGGATGTATATAACCTATATCTCTTCTCGGATGATTATGCGGTCGAAAAGTCGACGACGAATCGTGCGATATCGATTGTCGATCGAGCTTCGATATAATGATGCGATTAATCGAAACTTGTATTTAAAGTAACTTGAATTAGAGTCGGATTAACTTAATCATCGGCAATGAATTTAATACCGCAGAATTGCTTGCAAGCACAAAGTTCTTGATTGTGCAATTGTTCTTTATCGAATCTTTTTTCTCTCATCTCTATTTCATTAAATAACGAAAGATTCATAGTTCTATTCATGCTAATAAAATACAGATACTATTTGAAGTTAATTAGCGTTTAAATTGATTGAAATTTGGTCGAAGTTATTCTGAATGGAGGATATTCGGCTAAATGATAATTTGTAACATTTGTAACATCTTTTGCACAATTTTATTGTTTAATCAACAAATATCTAGCATTTGTGTAAATACAAACACAGATCTGATTTACAAGGCACTTGTGATAAAAAAGAGTAACAAAATATTTTTAGAAGATAATCTTATGTGTAAATCCAGAAAATCATAAATTTAATATACGAATAAAAATCTTATATTAATTCTTGATAAAAATAGAAGAATCCCGAGATATGCTGTAATGTTAAAATAAAAAAAAAGAAAAAAATTATTATATCGATTATACATATTTTTTTTTGTAGGCTGACAGTCGTATGCGGTTTGAAACTTTCTTCGCCTGTTCAACGTGTGATCTCGAAAATCCATTTGTCGGAAATAACCGAGATGATCGATCGCGAATCGCTCTAAGCGCGCGTGCACTTTTCGCGTCTGGTGTTGCGGTCGTATTGACATTTCTCGTACGCGGCACATTTCACCCCATTACAGTAAACGGCTTGATCTGTAAACATACGCGACAAAAACGAAAATGATTCGAAACTTTCAGCAAATCCACTAATTCGCAAGGTATGATTTTTTTTATGCATACTGCGTACGCTCGAATCTATTCTAACCCTTTGCGATCCAAATTGCTTCTCGCCAATGATCCGAAAAATTAAGCACATAGTTTTCAATTTTATCTAATTGGTATATATGTTGATATAATTGGCATAATATAAATCAAGTATAAATCATATTTTTTATTCAAGAGAATTTACGGAAATTTCAAGAGTATAATTTATTTAATCTTCAGGAATACTCATATAAATTTTAGTTACGCTCATACTCACCTCGGGCCAATAAGACACAAACGTGAAATTTTAAAAATTTTCGAGCTTTAGTGCGATCAATAAAATAAACACATTTTAAATGACAAACAACATTTTTCAATTAACAGAGTAAACACATTATTTTTCCATCAGCAAAGTAAACACATTTTAAATCACAGACATTTCTTTTTTATATTATAATTACGCGTTTAAACTCAACAATAAAACTTAAAATATAGAGAGAATTTCGAAATATAGAGATAAAAATTCACCTGAGTCAATATGATCCGATGTGAGTGCTGAGAGTTAACGATAATCGCAAAGCATTATCTTGAGTTCAATTATATAAATCTAACTAAGATGTAGGACTGTAAAGGATTAATCATATCGCAAAAATAGAGTAAGCTTTCGTATGTACGTACTACTCGAGCCCTTGTATCCACCATCACTTCCGGTATTAACGGGGCTGGTGTTGGCGCACGATGTGAAGCCGCACTTGTTTGGACAGCATTTCTGATTGAAAGAACACTGTCCATCCCCTATGCATCTGGAGCCGCAAGTCACGGTATTCCTCATCGGGCAGTTGCCACTTTTGTCTAAGGAACGATCGCAATGTAATTAATAATAGTTTTCTTGCTTTCATTGGATTAACATATAAAATAAAAAAATTTTGATGTTGTTAACAATTAACATTTATCGCGCGATTATTCTTCGCGTTACTGTAAATATCGCCGATTATTTATCATCTTGTTCTTTGTGGATAAGAAATAATCACACTGCTTCTCCGCACATTTTGATACATAATATCGCAGGCTAATTGGTAATGGCCGCGAATTGTAAAGTCATAATCGACACATTCATTTTGCTGACGTATATACATACAAGGATGCTATAATTGAATATTACGTCGCTTCAAGTATTCATTAAAAATCTCTTTCTGTCTGTGTCATCACTCAATCGCTATGCAGATACGCATCTAGCAAGAAAATTAAATCTAAGTTATAACATTTTTTAATAAACGGAATTCTATACACCGAAGAAACAATTTTGTTGAAGGATTTAAAAATTTGACTAGTTACAGATCTGAAAATAATTTTGTTGGGTTATTCAAATTATTGTAGAAGACATTTAAAAATAATAATAATACTACCAAATTTTTTGATATTCTAACAACCAATTTAAACATTCTATATAATTATTTTGATCCAATTTTAGTCCAACAGAATTATTTTTAGATCCGTTCTGGCTAAATTTTTTTAGATTTTTCAGCAAAACTGTTTTTCGTTATTTAAATGCAGAATATTCTAAAATTGAAAGAAAATAGTCATGAAAAATCTTTCTTGTAAAACTTGTTTGAAACCAAATTTTTATTAGTATAAAATTCGAGATATTAATAAATCTTTAATTAATTATAAATAATTGGAGATTAAGAGATAAATGATTAAATGTCTATTTTGTGGAAGGAGAGATTTCTATTTTTGACAGAATTTTTCAAAAATATAGAATATAGTTCAAAATATAGTTTTTCAAATATAGAATGCTAGCATATAAAACATGAATCATTTTTCTGGAATTATTGATCATAAGTTTTACATGGAAAAATTTGCGTCTTGAAATTTTCACTAATATTTTTATTTTTGACACGTTGTATTTTCACTTTTGATCAATTCTGCGGATATGAAACACGAGAGCATGAGCATGGTATGTTAAAAATAAAACGGGTTTTTCCGGATTCGGAAGTTGTGCGGAAATGCAGTGCATTTACTCTCGATGTTTTTGCGTAAGCGCGATAACGTTTACTTACAAAACGTCTGAGAGAACGTGCCGACAATCAGCAGGGTCAGCACCACTGCAAACGGTAGAAAACTACCTACAAAGTAAATATTACATTAATCCTATGTGAATTTCACATATGAGATCGTGAATATGAGATCGTGATCCAATTTGTGTGAGTGAAGCTTTGAAAGAAAGCCTTCAAACATGTCGAGATATTAATTTACAGTCGAGAATTAATTTGTGCTTGCAAATGTCGACAGCAAATAATCATTTAATGTTACAATAATGCATATTTTTGTTGAATGGCATAAGTAATTATGTGAAGTTAATTGCCATCGGATCCTCGAAGCGCCACGTAATGCGATTGAGACTTATGTTAACGATGTTACGTTCAAGTCGCATATTGTGTTCATGGGAAAATGCGTACCGTCGCGTTTCAAGGTTCCGCAATTGAATACTTACGGTTCATTTTATAAGCTGCTTCTGGACTACTTGACTAAAAACTCTACGGCGTGATTTCGACGAGGCTTCTAAACCGTGCGACGATTAAGGCAACGGCTTTTATAATACTTTCCACCTCTACTCTAGCATCGAGCGAGTGTACGACAAAAGGAGGCAAATAAATCGCGATTCGTGCTCTTCTATAGTGCGGCCAGATTCAAGAAAGTCTCTTCTCGATACCGTTTACTTGAACTTGGACGCACTTTTTCCTTTTCTTTCCGCATGCTGCATCGTGACGTAAGTGATAAGAGCGAGATGTATGTACATGCGAATATTATGCGTCGCTAAACCAGTCTGTTTAACTGGCATCATTCATTTATGTTGCAAGAACGGTGAAGCATGTTTCCTAAAATCGAGCGGGACCACTCATTACCGTTGAAGGTTACGTCGAAGGTCTATAACTTTTTATTTTGTATGTTTATCTTAATTCGGCTTAGCACAAACATCTTTCTTTATATCTTAAGTATTACTAAAGTATCATTTAAATAATTATCATTTATTCCTATTTTTTAAAAGAATTTAAATTTAAATTTAGAAAAGATTCGAATGTTTCTAAATAAAATAAAGATATTTAAATTATTAATTATTTTTAGTCGCTAAAAGTGTAATTATAATTATAAAACTATCTGTATAAATCTTATTACTGAACATTTTAGAATAGTTCTCAAAGATCTATGCTTCATAAGGTAGTTGAGAATTGTTTAATATTTTTGTTTAGTATTCATAGTTATTCAATCTATATTAATTACTTCGAATAGTTATTGATTAAAATTAAATAAATTCAATGCTATAATTATGTGGAATTAATGTTGGAATTTGCTTTGATACTTATCAAATTATGTATTGTAATAATTACTTACAAAGGAAGGTTAATGCTTAATTAAATATGTTACACATTGTGTGTCGAGGGCGGCTCTGAATCGTATCAGATTCAAAATAAATCATATCTGATTTGCTAGTGATAACAAGTACATTTTCCTTGATTATTTTTTATATAATCTTGACCTTTGCTTGTATCATTTTGTTTATTAGAATTATTATTTGATTAGTAAGTGATCTATCAAATGTCTCTCTGGGTTACCTCCATAGGTTTTTTATAATCTTTTTTGTAATTACTTTTTTGTATTGACATTAGGTTTATTAATCTATTATTAATCTATTATTAATCTATTTATTAATAAATTTCATTAATGAATTTTATTTTGCGAATATATGGTAGATAAGTTAAAGAATATTCTATGTATAATTTTATTAATTATATTTATATTTAATAATTTAGTTGAAAGAAAAAATTCCATTTATTTTAATCATTTTATGACAAAAATATAATTGATGAAAATCAAATTATGATATAAAAATACAAGTTTATTTATTGTTGTATTGAAATGTGGAAAATATGATTATTAATAAGTATAATGAGTATGAAAAATATAAACATTAAGATAAAAAAAATGAAATTATTATTAAAATTATTTTATTATAACACGATTATTAAACTCAATATAAAAATCAATGTTCTCTCTCTAAATTCTAGATATGTTAACTATTATGAATACAATATTAGAAGGAATACAAAAATTGATTAGTGGTAGTAATCATTGTAATCATTTCCGAAACGCGACATAATTGGATTAACCGGAATTTCCATGGATTCCACTACTTCGATCTCTGGTTTTTGACAAGCTCGGGCACCACATCTATTTTTGCAACATTTTAGGTTTCCTTTGCAATGACTGTCGTTGCTGCAAGTGGATGTGCATACCCATCTTCCCGTCGGTGTCGATGGACAAGATCCTGGTTTTTCTGAAAAGAAAAGATTAAATTTTCTTGTACAAGTTAACGAATGATTAGAGATTGATTTATTTGTACTTTTTATATACATATTATTATTATTATTATTATTGTTATTATATAGTAAAAGAAATAACTGTGTGAAAATTGTACAGATTAGATTAACATGCCTTACAGCGTGCTGATAAAACGACGAATAATAATTGTAAATAAGAACACAAATCACAAACACAAATTTATTATACTTATTTATTTATTTTGTTTTATTATTTATTTATTTATTATTATTATTGTTATTATTATTAGCATTTTATTATTTACTTATTATGTTTTATTATTTATTTAATAGTATATTAACTTTTGCAATTTATTTTACAAATATTGTTTGTTTTTAAAATATTGAATCAATGTTTATTTTATGTTTTAGATTGACAAATTAATGTAACAAAGAAATTATTCACCTGTAGCGGTAGGTCCTGTCATTGTGACGGGCATGGAGCAGATAGAACCACCGCATTGAGTCGGACAACATTTACCAATTCCTTCGCAGTGTGCGTCAATGTAGCAGGATCGTCCGCAGAATCGTACAGGTAAGGCAGGTGGACATGAACCTGGTTTGGTCGCATATCTGGTCTGCGCTTTCGTAATAGAGATTGTCGTCACGAAGATCAGAGACACGACTAGTAGCTTCATACTTGTGTTAGATACTATTGCTGATCTCGGGATATCAGGAACTAAGCATAAAAAATATTATTTTCTTGATGAGTGGATTAATCAGGGAAAAAGCAGAGAGATTCGATAATTTCGTCTGCTATATGCATCAAGTAACATAAACATGAGCATAATTATGTTTAATTAATTTTAATTAAAATTATATGAGAAGATATCGCTACATTTTAATAATAATTTTTTTAGACATGGTTCAATTCTAATAATTAATTTAAGCGATAACAGAAAAAAGGATATATAAATGTTTTTCTTTAAATAATATATTTAAAATATTTATTATATTTTACAATATTCAATTACAATACATATATTAGTGAATAGAATGAACAGAATGAGCGAATAAAACTGTATTAATAAATAAAATAAATAAATGAAACAGTTTTTTTTTAAATAAAATAAATATTTTAAATGCATTTTTTATATTAGTATTTTTGTCATTTCCTTTTTAGTTATTGCTTTAAAGAGTATAATATGCTGAATTAATCATGCTAAATGGAATAGTATGAAATTGCTTGCTATATGCTTACTATATTCGACGTGTCTTCTTTTATTTATTTCTCTCTCTCAGTTTTTGCACTTCACTATTTTATGATGATACGCAACATACTATTCGCACAAGAAATATGTAGACTAAAAAACTATGCTTATCACATGAAACACTTGAAGTACATGCAATTTATATCATACTTTAGTACTCGAGGAATATAGATGATAGCAAATGTCAAAGTCTGCTCGTTTTTGCTACTCAACAGAATGGTGCTTCCGATATATATGCCTGTCGTCGTCAACTTCTCCCCTCCTACGACAATCATTAAACATCTCACCGCTTAGTCCTGCGCATTTTATGACATCATATACTACATTTGATATAATATTATCACAATTCACAATAAATATTATTTATTTTTAAAAATATTTTTTGCCTATCTTTTTTTTTAAAACAGCGTTTACTTAAAATTATATTAAAAACTTCTTGCGCTATGAACGATAAATTAGCGTGGCTAATATTGTCTGTTTTGGAGATTGTTGTTTCATCGTATTATGCGTACCAGATTCGCTTTTGAATGCGGCCGTTATAATCAGAAAGCATTGGTGGTGAACCGTAACCGCAACTATAATTAAAGTCCCAATTAATAAGACTTCCAATTCAGCCAGAAGGACGCGGTCGAAACTGTTTCCTCTGTAATGAGATTTCCTTTCTGATAAAGAATATTATTTTGTTTGAGAGTTAAAGTTATTTTGCTTTTTATATACAGTATATTGGAAACAATGTCTTTAGCTTTGAAATAAAATAAAATCTCTTTTTTTCTTTAATAAAATTAGAGCTTGATAAATTCGATTATAAAAAAAATTGTATTCGACCAATTTAGACAAACTTAATTGTAATAATAAGCATAGGGAAAATTTTTCAGAAGAAAATTTACACAGTGTGTATTTCTACACAGTATGTATCAAAGAGAAATAATATAATTTTCAAAGAACAAATCTTCTTTTTAATCATAATGTTTGTTGTAAATGTCAAAAGTTGCATGCTATATTAATCTCGTTATTAGTCTAATTATAGATTACGTAACAAGCCATAACAGCCCTGCTTATATTACGCATGAAAAGAGGAACTTACATTAATGAGTGGCGTCACTCCTGCTATTCATCACGGTCACGCCGCGCTATTCGTTATTGCTTTATCTTTTGAACATAACAGAAGTGTATGTGGAACAATGAAGACACTGGACTTTGGACAGATTTCTATATTTTTTATTAATTTGCTAATACACATATATAAATATAAAATAAAAGGGCAGGCAATAAAAAATATGTATAGTATAAAATACATTTTACGATTATATACTAGTGAGTCTTAAAAATTAATAATAAATGCATCCTTGGTACTCAAGCCTCTCCGTACCTGAGAAGAAATCGAAACGATAAAAAGTTCACAAATAATCGATTTGATCTAAATTAGAGCTAGTTAATTTAATACTAATATAATTCTTGTGCTATATAAAAATAGTATATGTTTGGAAATTTGATTCGATGATTATATGATGGATATAACCAGAGAAAAGTAAATCAAGATAATGTGTATTTATAAATGTCCTTAAATGTCTGTGAGTCAGCATTCTGTTTGTCATATAAATAATAAATAAAAAATATGATACATTGTCGTTACATATGCACAACATTTTATGTACCATATAATAATAATAAATCTAATAATAAATAAAGAATCATAAAGTTTTACATTCGTTTCTTATGTTAATTCGACACTTCTTAACACCCTGAAGTAAAAACTCTGTTTACGCCTCTGGTTACTTAAATCATCTATTTTTTCAGTTATATTATCTTAATTTATGATCTCATTTCTCATATCATGTATTCTATAAGATTAATGGAGGGAAATTATATATAAATTATATATAAATATATAATTGATTATTAAATATCTTAATTCGGTATTTTAACTCGACTGTAAGAAATAATTGAATTGACATCGCTGCCTTGTACGGGCAATATTAAATTTGTATACATTCTGTAAAAATGATATTTATAAAAAGCAATAATTAGCATCTTACATTTAACATGACTATATCTAACATAAGTAGATATATATATGCCATATATAAAATTTGAAATACACATATATATATATATATATATATATATATATATATATATATATGTGTTATTATATATATATATATATATATATATATATATTATATATATATAATAAATATATATATATATATATATATATATATATATATATTTTTTTTTTTTTTTTTTTTTTTTTTTTTTTTATATTGTATGTAAAATTTTCATTTTTTATTTTAATTTATTTATTTAATATTTATTTATTTAAATTTTATGTTTTAACGTTTATACTTTTTATGTTTTAAATGTTATCTTTAGTAATGTTATATTTCAGTCATAGTTTTTTAATGTATGAAAGACATATTATATAATTTGTATATTTGTCAACAAACATTTATGCGCTTCAATTTTTATTTCTATTTCTATTTCTATTTCTTAGTTACAATTGTAAATAATAAAGATTCATTAAGAACATGTTTGACAAAATATCCTGTAATTATAACACAGAAGTATATACAATTTTAAAAATAGTATATAAAATTACATTATAAAATTACATTATATATTGTATAACTGTATATATATCCTCTATTTCAATTGTAATATTTTTTCTTTTCTTGAAATTATTACATAAATGTTTATATCTAAATTGTGGTACATAATTTCTTAATTTCTTTCTTCAAAATTATGCGTAATATATTATAGTAAAAAAAAAATAGATTTTATATTCAATTAAATGATTTAATTAGATAATACATCGATGTGTAACATAAATAGCTCAACTTTCCAAATATTGCAAAGATCGCTAAATAAGAATTCTCTCCCATAGATTCGCATCTACATCCGTATGAATCACTGATTTTTTTCAATCATGACTCATCAGAAATTCCCGTAACATTTCCATTTTCTCAAGAATCTTTAACTTGAGGAGAAATAATTCTTAAAAAACTGCATTGAAACTTGTTGCAAGGGGTTAGTGATTCATCTTGTATATTTCACATATCGAGATTCGATGCTTATCTAAATATGCAAAACGATCGAATATAAATATATCTGGTTTAGGAAAGAAAAGCTTTAAATAAACTCAGTCATTTATGATAATTAACTGCATTAATCTAACAGTTATTTATTAACTTTTATTTAATTAAATTTTATGTAATATAAAATGCATCTATTTCGCGTATTTCGTATTGCGAGAAAGAGATGAGAGAAATTTGAAAGAAAAACGAGAAAATACAGGAAAATGTTGCTATAAATCTTACATCAATATCTTCGTATACATATTTTTATTGATTTAAACCTTAACATAATTTTGCTTTTGCATTACAAAAATTGCGTGCTCATAGTCTGCGTGAAATTATACAGTGTGAAAGGTCGTACCTCTTGGTGGCACGGGTGGTGCAGGCAATTTCTTTGGTATGGCGCCGAGAATCTTGGCGGCATCGTGACCTATATTAACAGCAAGGTTCATGTATTCCGGCATTCTAATTTCGGTGGCCTCGTTCATGTTTCTCGAAACGTTCGACAAATTTGTCGATACGTTTTCCTCATCGTGTGTCGTCCCGACGGTCTCTTGACCTCGAATAGCGAGTGCGGAGTCGATCTCGTCAATGGCAGGTTGAGCGAACGACGGTTTCACTTTTGTGGTATCGGAACACGCTTCGGCAGTATCGTCAAGGTGACGTTCTCCCGCAACTTGCCGATCTACGTGAACGGAATCGGCAGATGTTGATTCATTACTCGTGCAGTCTGGGATGCACATTCCTGGCGGCACGACTGGAATGAAATTTGACGATATCGGTTCGATGTTAGTATAACTGTTACTGGCAACGTGTTTTATCCCTTCAGTTTCTTCTTGAGGTTTGTCCGGCGAAACATTTTGGAAGTCGTGATATCTCGGATGATCGCATAATGAGTTCGGCGTGTCCGGTTCCCTCGGAGAACCGTCCGCTTTAAACGCTGCAAAAGTTAAATTTTGTGGATTGATTATTTATTTCTGAGATTTTAGCTCACCAATGATTAAAAAAATTTAAAAATCTTTAATAATGAGACATGTTTTTTTCAAATATTCCATAAATATCTTCTGAACTGCTATATGTTATATTCAGAATAATATTCTAGATGATGTCTAAACTAGATAAGAATGAAGGTTTGATTTGATTAATTAATATTACCATGAACGGGTAATCCTGACGGTGGGAACGCGATATAGTACTCGTTATCGGCTCTGGACGATGATTGAGTATGTCGGAAATCAAGATCACGCGAAATAGAAACACTCGGTGATGGAGAATAACCGGATGCTGGTGAATATCTGCCTGTAAATGGCTTAGGCGCGGGTGGTATCTCGTAGGATGTCATGCCAGCTTTCTCATCTCTGATATTTTGGAGCTAAAAATAATTCGTAGATCTAATTTAATAACACAGAAATGATATACTATTTTATATTTTTTTTCAATACACAATTTTTTTTAATATTACATTTCTTCTTAAAATGTAAAATTAGATAACATAAGCAAAAACAATCTTGAATATGAATCTTGAATTTAAAACTGGCTTTTGATTGAGATTAATTTACAACATTTTAAATTGATTATTCATTATTTTTAATTTATATATATTGCACATACTCTTCTGTCTTCGGAGTCGGAATGAGTTCCACTGTCGCCCAAGCTGGCACCGCTGCAACCGCTGACAGTGCTCATTCTACCAGATGAGGATGAACCTAAGGAATAGAAACCATTTTATGAAATTACATAAATGTGCGCAAATAAAACATTCAATTATTTATATAAGAAGAAAAGAAATCCTAAAGAAATCTGGAAGCTTTCAAAATTTCGAAATTATTGTTTAAATTTTTTAAGGTTGTTTTAAAATGCTTGTAAATATTTTAAAAGCATTTTTAAAGATATTCTAAATTATTATATAATAATTATTATGCTTACTGGAGATACTACGGAGACTTAAACTACTGATAGGCCGGCAATCAGCTAATCCACTATTAATATTTTCAGTTTTGTTCATAGATGATTCACTGACAGCAGATTTTGTATCTGTAGCAAAAATTAAAATGGAAAAATTTTAATTATTGTTTTGTTTCGGCTATCTAAGTAGAAACGATTGGAGATATTCTGAAAACGCAATGATATTTGCCTTTCTTTCCTTTGGAGAAGAATTTTCGTATTTTGTCGAATGGCGTTGGAGTTTTCATCTCTTCTTTCAATCTCTTCTGTATCCTGTCATATTCCTCCCGCATTGCCATAAGCTGTCGCTGTTTGTCTTTGAAACTTTGCTGAACATCGTTTCGTTTCTGCCAATTTTCAACGAGCCTTTCCACTTCGGATATAGTAAAAACGTTGTTTTTGAAGTCGTTAATGATCTCCAAGAGCTCGTCCTGAGGACCTGATGGCTCCCGGGATTTGGTGCTGCTGTTGGACGACGTCCTGCCATAGAGATGATTTTGGGATGATATTTTCTGACTGCAATTGTCTTCTCGTGCTCCCAAGGGATTTTGAACACATTCCTGGCGAATATTTTGAGTAGGAGTGCCCGTTCGGGACGGTGGTAAATTTGTTGTATTCGGTTTTGAACCTTTAATTATAATTTGTATCGTTAAAAATTCACAAATATATTTATTTTTGAAAATAATTAAATAAAAATTGAAGCAAAATAATTATTATAATTTTAAAACCATTGAAGTTGTATATAAGAGAATTTAATTCAACATTAATGAATAATAATAAAAATGTATATCAGTATTTAAATACTTGCCAATTAGATTATGATGAAAAGAATTCGCAGAAGAAGAATAATCTGTAAATTATATAATAATTATGTAAATTATTACGTATAAATTATGTAGAAATTATATTATGACACTTCAGGATGTTTACCGGTGGCATGCATTTTCATGTAACCTTGGAATGACATATCCAATCCATTTGACGTGACTGAGGTCGTGGGTGTGGACGGCAACTGGTTATTAATTACTGGCGTAGGCGTTGGTACGATCGAATAATTCGCAGCTAAGGGATTATTCGTGAATGTGTTAGAGATGCTCGTCGTTTGTAAATTCGGGATCAGAGTCGTTACTGGTCTCGCGATCGGTGGTACCAAATAAGCCTCGTTCAAAGGCCTTGGTTGACAATAATCTTCTTTTTCGTTACTGATTTCACTCGCGATTGTTGATGGGACATCCATGGTTGAACCCGTTCCTAAATACATACTCGTATTATCTCTCAAATTTCTCTCAAGATTAATGTTTTCATTTTTAATTTTTATGAAACTTTTTTATAAAATAATTTATAAAATAATTTATGTCTCGTAAAAACATGAAAAAAATATAAAAATATTTTTATGTAAAAAAATACATCGAAAATGTACGATTACATTTCTTTTAATTTAGAATCTGAAGTATTACTGAAATTACACAAGCACAAAATAAAACGATGTTTTTAATTTTTTAATTCGAAATTTGAAAATAAAGGCTCGTATATATTAATTTTACATTTTTAATTTCTTCTGTAATAAAATTAATATCTTCCTGCTTGTGTTAAATAGTTTACTCTGTATTATATACAAAATTTTTTTCATTTTAATTACTTTTACAAAGGCACGCTTCGGACTTATTAACGAGCAGAATTATTATGCTTCCGTAATATTGTTGTAGTGTTACATTATTCAATACCTGTTGATCGGTTCGTTGTTTGGCTTATGACTTTGAGGTAGCTATACATGTTGGTGAACTCGTTCATTTGCTAAAGTTTCGTCCATCGGAATCCAAAGTCACAATCGAAACATGCAATACAGAGTTGACTTGTCAGTTAATCTATCGACTATTTATAGTCTGAAGAACTAAATTGAGTGGCATGCAAGTACGCGCGATTTTTTTCCAAAATCTTTCTATTCCGAGAAAATTTCCAGAAAA